CAACAGGGCTGAATATCTCAAGAGAGTCAAGTCAAGACGCAACTACTGATACGCCCAATGGACTGGAATTGACGCAACAGGATTCTACCATCAATGAAGAAACAGAACTCGCAACTAACACACCACCAACAGGGCTGAATATCTCAAGAGAGTCAAGTCAAGACGCAACTACTGATACGCCCAATGGACTGGAATTGACGCAACGGGATTCTACCATCAATGAAGAAACAGAACTCGCAACTAACACACCAGCAACAGGGCTGAATATCACAAGAGAGTCAAGTCAAGACGCAACTACTGATACGCAAAATGGACTGGAATTGACGCAACAAGATCCTATTCTTATCTCTAGGCAATAATTATACGTCTATATAGTAAATTATTTGAGAATGTTTGAAAATGAAAGTATCTGGGTATAGTAAAGGCATGCATATTAAATATATGCTCGTTATTAATCAGTTCGAAAAATAATCGTAGCTCTCAGGATACAAATTCATTTTTATAAACCGTATTGTTGCAGACAGAGCACCAAATCTGGTATTGCGTCAAATGTCTATGAACTACAAAATTCGGAATAACGAAAGGCAAAAGTGTTGTTTCTTTTGCGTGTCTAAGTTTGCCTAAGCACGCAACACCAGACATGATGTCGGAAATATGTTAATTGCCGGTTTAAAACGTTTAAACAAGTTTGTACTTGTTCTTACTCCGTCCAATGCCCACTTTAGGTTAGGTTAGGTTAGGTTAGGTTAGGATAATAAGATAACTATCTTCAGGGATGTTGCGCCATGTTGTCTGGTAGATGTTTACAGATTAACTTCTCGCCCTGATGATGAAGGCAACAAGTACCTCTGAAACGTCAGTAAACTTGTATCATACCACACATCGCAAAATCCCACAAGACAGTTATTTTCATATTTGCATCCGTGAGAATCTGAAACCTCACACGTATTTAGGTCGCCAAATTCACAACTTTATACCTCGTCTCAACAGATTTGAATTAAACTTTTATGTCAAACATTCTTTCTCGTTCAATAAATAATCCTTTTGGTGTAATCTCATAACAATTTCAAGGTCAATAACATGGCGGGGTCATCAGGATCGCATCCCGCGAGAGACTTCAGTCAAATCTCAACGCAAATAGTTGAAACAACTAATGACGCTTCTGTTACGGGTGTCGTGGCCAGCGAGACGAATGCTCAAAGCAGTCAAACATTACTTCCAGTGTTTCCAGTTACTTCAGCAACCTCTTCTGTCCTGCCATCTTCAAGGAAACCATATACACCAGTGTATCGATGCTTGCGATCTGGCCGTTTTCCATCAAGGTCGAGTTGCACCGAGTATCATGAGTGCCGCCGTGTTGGTTCCTGGTTGGTGCACTTCAAAGGAAAATGTTCTTTCGGCCGTAGTTTCAGTGTTCGTTATAGTTTCTGCGTACGCAGTCGTCTATCTGACTGCAAACCATACTCGATCCCGTTTGATGGCGGTAACCGTTCAAGCGAATTTCAAGATTCTGATAGTGACGAAAGCGAAAGTCACAATGAGAACGGGAAAAATTCGAAAACAAATCGACTCAACTCCTTTCTCAACGAAAAGAATAACAGACACTCATGGATCTATAAACGCACTACTCTTTCATGATTTGTTACGCTGCTAATTGTGTACTTAGAAGAACCAAGAGAAACTATTATTAGTTCATAGTGTATGGCTGGAAATCAAATCCTTAATTGTATTTTATTAAATGTATTAATTTTACTGTAGTATCCAGTGGTCGGCAACCCGTGCCCCACACGTGAACCTCGCAACCTTCTTAAGGGTCCGTCACACGATCTGGCAGTTCGTCAATGCGAGAAATGCAAATGTAAATGTGACTGAGAAAAAGTGATATAAATTGTCTACGCGTAAATGTAAATAATTGAGAAAAATTGTAATAAATAAAGTATTATAGATGCAGGCCTATGAATTAAAATCATTTTATTGTGTAAAGATTCATTTTTTACGTAGTTCATACCATAAAAACTGGGCAAAAATATTATTGCTGCAGTATTAAAAATATTTTTTAAAAAAAATTAACAATGACTTAAAGTCAAAACTGTATAACACTAGCAAACGTCTTTACAATAAATTCAGTTGCATGGATAAACAGCTACAGCTATTATGTTTCCAACTGAATACGAGCTAACTTTTTCGGTTCCAGAATTACATTTTCGCTCTCATGATTATTTTCTGTCGCCCTTGACAGAGATTCGTATCCAGAGCGGCCCACAGTAATGACAGGCCGACTATACCATAAATATGCACCATATTGGCCATGTTATTTGTGTATGATTCTTAACGTACCTTTACATTTTAATTGCTTTTACAAGTACCGACGAATTACTTTCATGTCCGTCGTCCGTCCGCCCAAAAATATCAGCGTCAAACTACGGGGTCTGATAAAAACAATAACATATATCGAATTCTGTCGACACATTTTACTATGGGTTAATATGGAGCATTTCAGAGCCCAGTTTATTTCGGTGAATCTCTAATAAAAACACTGTCAATGCAGGCACAACCAAGATTCCACATAATTGCCATGGCAACGCTTTACGAACGGACCTGAAACCTGGTAGCCCTCGATTTACGCCGGGGATTTGTCACTGGACGAACTGGCGTAAACTGAATCGGCGTAAATTGAAACTCTTTTATAATGTAAATCAATGGGAAGTCAATGACATGCGTCCCCGACACCCAAACATTGAGGAGTAATATAATGGCATTACATTTAAAGATCTGAAATAACGTAAATAAAATAAGGGGAATTTAAAAAAGATATTTTATACACTTACAATCGGCGATGGCGTGATGAAGCGGCGTTAGTTCTCTGATGAAGTCCCTGGTTGAGGATCATCATGTGTCGTGTGGACTGTGGATTTTTTCTTTCAAAATTTCATGATACGGCCTCATGGCCTCAATTGCATAAGAGCAAACTCGCATATGCAAAAGTTTGCATTTCACAAATAGCTTTTACTGATTCATCGATCTCATTGGAGCAAATTCGTGTTAACGAAACATACGTAATTGCAGAGATGACTGTATTTATAATTTTTGTTCAAAATCAGCGATGTAAGAATTACGATTTAGTATAAGAAGCAGTGCGAGAAACATTGTAAAAGTTATAAATAATAGTAAAATATATATTTTTTCACTTTTTGACTTTCTGGTTTCAAAACCGGCGCAAATCGAGGGCTACCTATACATTAATTATGGAGCAAAACCAATATTGTAGAAGGTATTTAGTTAAATTTTCCAGACAAGATCTCAATTTTTCACTCTGCCACAATTGACGTATTTGCAGTCCTTAATATACATAAAGTGATAACACTGTTATAGAGGTGGAAGATTGCAGTTATTTGTGTTGCAATATACATTATAAATCTGACAAAAATCTAACGCAATAGTACATTCATTTCAGTTCACGTGTGGTACAATAAGGAGAGCTTTAAGAAATAAACCTAGAACGGATACAATGGAATTACCTGCATACCCTTGTATGGTTCTGGCAGGTGGATCATGAATACAGCAGACTTGAATACAATAGGCACAGCGAACATAAAATTTCTGAGGTTATGTTTCTATGCACAGTGTTAAAAACCTAATAAGCAGCACAAATATTACACAGCTTTTGGGTATTTATGCCATCACTTCTTACTACACATCCTATAAAATCTTACATTTCTTCTCCATACATGTCTAAAATGGAATGGTGTAATCCAGACTTGAATACACGAGTTTCCACGTGTTCTTCGCAATTTCTGAATTGTGAATGCTCCTACCTTAAATAAAGAAGTATGATTACACGCGCACACGCATGTACTACACAAACATAACCACTAGTATCATCCACATAAGCATACAAGTGTATTTCTTCAACATCAGACTTACTCATTAAGTAGGGTTTGAAGTTCTCACAGTGGTGATTATGAAGCCGGCTGTCTGGGTTGTAGCACCTTGCATTCCACTAACATTAACTAAAACCAATAAGATAGCCATCTTCAGACTTATTCATTAGATCTCAAATACTTATATTATTTCACAAACGTACAAAAACGTATAACGATCCTATGATTATCTTCGTTCCTAGTGTTGAATCTAAATTATCTTTACAAATATAAACAATTATAAAATTTCATACTCACCGCTGTGATAACCTCAAATCTTACATAACACAAAGTTGGTCAACAATACCACAAGAGACTTAAAATGGATCTTAGAGAAAACTGGATTTGGGGGTACAGATTGGATTCATCTACCTCGGGATAGCAACTTGTAAACATGGTAATGAATCTTTTGGTTCTGTAAAAGACTTGTAAACATGGTAATGAATATTTGGGTTCTGTAAAATGCAGGGAGTGAAAAGACTAATTAAATAAAAAATATACTCTCCAGTAAGGAATTTGATGGAACTAGGTCAATTAAAACAAATTTGTCACATACAAATGTATTGTGCTATATTTACAAATGACAAATGATAATATAAAAGACGCTGCAATAAATGGCTTTGATGACAAATTAAAAATACAATGTAAAAAAATATTGTACAAAAAACATTACTTAACCGATCAAGCTTTCATATATGTATGCTCGAGATCAAGTCTTCAATAATACACGATTTTCACATTGCAAAATATCCGAAGCGTCTGCAACACACAACTAAGTACAATTTGAAGAACAGTGCCAAACAGTGCACAACAACAAATTTCATCAACTGAAATTAAAAATTAAATGATGTAAGAGAATTAATTTTACTAATGATGCTGATATTAAAAAATCACTTGTCTTGGAACACTGCAAAATACAGTAGCTGAGAAATGTACATATATTAAAGTACAACTGCTTACATGAATTACATAAGACCCCGTTTGACGTTCGTTTGGTTGCATTCACAGAGGTCTAAAAGTTCTCAGTAATGACGCTAGATGGCAAAATATTCTACTTTACGTGCTGCTACCATTAGACATCTTTCAAAAGTACTTCAAACAGGTGTAAACCAATTTTAGGCTTGTTTGTCCACAAATTCTCAGCAATTAAGTCAGATTGTATAACACTCCATTTTACAATTGTTGCTTTCAAAAGAACTTCCAATAGGGGTGACAAAAAATTTTAAATAATAATTTTAAGAAATCCAAACAGATTATGTGATGTGTGAACTAAAGGTTGATTTTCAGTCACAAGAAAGAGTGAGAAGGGCCAATGAGATAGAAATACGGAAGGGATCGAAAAGAGACGTGAGGAAAAACGAAGGGAGGAGATAAAGTTATTAAGAAAAAGATGAAAGGCAGCAAGGGCTGTAGATATGAAAGAAATCATTCGCTGTTGG